CCCCCCCCGCCCCAGGTCGCTCCTGGTGTTTAAAGTGTGACTAGGATAATCAAGCTGTAAAACTAAGTTATGACCAATAACACAGAACCATGCTGGGAACCTGGGAGGATTTTGCACCAGATTTTGCAATGTTTTTTCTATTTAAACTTACAGGATTTTGATAAATTTATTTTGTGTAGTGCCTGGATCTAAAGATTAGATTTAGCACAATTTTTCTCTTGTGTTTGGGAGTTGGTGAGAATTTACGTCAAACACCATATTGATTATTATATTTCAGGTTTGAATGAAATAACAAGTTTGTTTCTGTGCAAAAGAGAATCTCGAAGCAGTAAATGGATTATATTTACAATCCTTTCATCAACTTAGTTGCTTTTTCAAGGTTACAAATTATCTGCAGAGTTACGTTTGAAGATTTTGTAAATGGTTTGAACATTACATGTGCATGGAAAAAGTATTTTATTTTCAGAATTAAAGCCTTGCGGAAAACATGAAATGTCCAAGAAAAAAATATAGGAGCGCGGTTAAAAATAATAAATATTTCAATTTAAACGTTAAAAATATGGTTTAATCCCATTTTAATTTAAATAAATGTATTAGAAGAATACAAAAGTTCTTACATAGATATCCTTGTTAATTCTGATTGGAAAACTGACTGGAAAAAATTCCGGGAAATGGATTAAAGAAGAATTAGAACAATTGGTGGAACAAAGCAGACAAATTTCTAGAATTCAACAATTTATAAAAGGTACTGGGGAATTTAAACTTTGCGAAAACTTATACCAGAATTCACAACATATCCTATTGAGAACCAGATATCTGTTCAAATGTTAAAAGAAATAAGAAAAGAAAGAATACATATTTTCTATAGCTGAGCAGTTTAAGAAATTTACAATTATCATCTAAGTAAGTAAGTAAGTAAGTAAGTAAGTAAGTAAGTAAGTAAGTAAGTATCCATTATTTATGAAATATAACAAAAACATACAAAATTAAGTTGTTTAACCCTATTCCTGCTGGGGTACTTGAAAACCAGGATATGCTGGGGGGGGGGTGGAATAGGGTTAAGGAGAAAATATTTGAAAACCTCCAAAAATAGAGATTGTGGGAATATTTCCCCCCAATTCTAAAAAAACAAAAAAATAGAAATAAAAAGAAAAGGAAAGGAAAGAAAAAGGAAAGTTACATATTTTTTGTTTACATTATATTTAATGTGGTGGATTGTTGGTAATTTTCGACGATGAACTAACAACTTTTAGAAATAAAAATGATCCATTTATTTGTACTGGTTAAAAAAATAAAATAGGTTTCATGGGTTGTGATAAATGTATAGGTTTTACGCAAAATAAGCATTTTTAAGCATCTTTTTAATTCGCGCCGATTTTTGACATCCTTTATGTTTGTTGTAGCACCGGAGCCAAATTTAACTTTATAGCACAAGTCGAAATAAGTTGCTAAATTTGGATTTTCTAATCCCAATAACTTTGCAACTCTATGTTGTAGAACTTTTTATTTCAAACTATGAATTCTGCTATAGTAAATAACCCAAGTTTGAAATATCAAAGGCTTACACCATCACTTTGAAAAGATATAGGGATGTGAATATTTGAGTTTGTGACAAACTTTTATTATCATAAATTAAAAATAGATGTACCATTTTTAACGTCCTACCTGCTGCTTTTGGAAGGACACATTCTCTTACTTTTGTTCTTGTTCCCCCACCACAGCTCTTGGTGCACTGAGTCCAGTCTGTCCAATCCGTCCACACAGGACAAGATTGTGTATTGCAAGATTCTACAGCTTTGCTTTCTCCTGAGCATTCTAGTCCACGAGTAAGAACACATTCTCTGAGCTTAGTTCTAGTTCCTCCACCACAGGATTTGGTGCAAGATCCCCAGTCCGTCCATTCTGTCCAGTCGGGGCATGTTTGAGAGTTACATTCTCTTTCCTCTGAATCGTCTCCTGAGCAGAGAAAAGCTCTGCTATCTGGTAGAACACAATCTCTAGATCTTTTTTGACTACCTCCACCACAAGTTACACTGCAATCTGTCCATTCTGTCCATTCAGTCCAGATCGGACAATCCTGTAAATTACAATCCTCCTCATCTTCTGTCTCTCCTACACAGCCTGATACACTTCGTGGTTGAACACATTCTCTGACCTTTTTCCGTGTTCCACCACCACAGCTCTTAGTGCAAGTAGTCCAGTCAGACCAAGGACCTAACTCTGGACATGGCTGGATATTACACTCCTCTTCAAGCTCTAATTCTGCCAAGCAGTCATTCTTTTCTCCACTCTACAAATATAATTTTGGTCTAATGTGTTGAATAAAGTAATTAAGTTTCATTTTAAGCTTTTTGATTGTATCCTACCTTTGGGTCAATACATTCACGCCTTTTGAACCTCTTTCCACCACCGCATGTTGCAGAGCACTCAGTCCACTCTCCCCACGGGGTCAAAACTGGACATGACTTTTCATTACAGGATTCTGTAAGCTTGTCTGGTCCGGGACATTGAGGAGCTCCTCGAACATCAGGCAAAATACATTCTCGCACCTTGGTCCTTGTTCCACCACCACAGCTAGCTGAGCAGACTGTCCAGTCGGTCCAATCAGTCCAGACAGGGCAGACATCCTTATTACAAGCTCTTGTTTCTGTTGGGTCTCCAATGCAGCCAGCAGCATCCTTAGGAAGAACACATTCTCGGTTCCTACTCTGCTCCCCTCCTCCACAGCTTACACTGCAGCTACCCCATTCACTCCAATCAGTCCATATTGGACAGCTCTAAATATTTAAAGTAGAAAATATGAAATAAGTTTTATACATTTAAACTTTTAAAAAAATTACTAACTGCTACATTTTCCCACCTGGATGTTACACTTCATAGTCTCTAAACTTTCCCCTTGACAGCCTTGAACTCCAGATCTATCAGCAGGGATTAAACATTCTCTACCACGTGTTTTGGATCCTTCGCCGCAGGACTTGGTACAAGGAGTCCAATCCGTCCAGGGAGTCCAGTCTGGACAATTATTCGTGTTGCAGGACTCTATCACCTCCTTTTCCCCTTCACATCCTGCAGACTCAGCTTTAGGCAGAATACAATCTCGAACCTTAACATGTAAACATGCCTCTGATTGGCGACAGAAATATATATTTGATTTTATTTCTTCTGCTTCTGCAAACTGAGACACATTTATGTTTGACCTGGGAGAAATAAAAATTCATTTTTTTATGTTTACCTCTTTGATTACACAGATATTTTTAGAGTAAAGTATACATCTTGATCAATTCACTGACAACTTTGCTATAATCTGATTGTAATTTTGCTGTTTTGTGCACTGCAGACACATCTTTGCACAGTTTTAATTACTCAATTAAATCTTCTAACAATTTCTGCAGGACTTAGATTTTTAATTCCTCTCTATTAAATAAATTGAGATAATTTTCTACTGGATTAATTTGATTAAAATGTTAAGCCTAAGTTAAACGTAATCCTGATTTTAAACTTAGCAATATGAAAAACTTATATAAAATATATATTTATAAATATTCATAAATAATGCAGACTCACTTTTTCGAATAAATATCAAATAAATTAAGAATAAATGTATAGTTCAAGAGCCACTCTAGATTTTTAAAAGTTTTTTTTTATCAAAGAAGTAAAAGAGTACAGGAATTTAACTCACAGACGCGCACTTTTAATATTATGTAAAAACAAATTATCTTAGAACCTATTTTTACTTGTAAATCACATTTCTTTATATACATTCTTTTTACCTTCTTCCTCTGTCCTCCTCCACATGAGTGAGTACATTCAGTCCAATCTGACCAATCCGTCCAAACAGGACATTTCTAAACAGATTCATTTCTGTAATTAGATAAATCCTAATCTTCGATAAAATTGTATTACACTACACACTGGATTGGTGGTCGATTACTTTGTAATAATGATTAAATTATATATATAAACCAGTAAAAAGTGCACAAATATTTCCATTTTGATAAATTTGATCCAAAACAGGATGTTAATTTTAAAATATTTTTGAAAAGTTTTTATTTGATAAAAACATTATCATGAATATTGGAAAATCATTTCCTAAGAAATAACTTTTCTCGCGTATTTATGAAACTAGGCATCTTTTGGTATAGATTTATTTCTAGAATTTTATTTATAGGGACTGTAGTGACCCCAAAGAGAAAAGAATATATATTAGAGTGGAATTTAGACAATCCCTCGGTATGAATTTTGTCAGTCTCTTTCAGCCTGAAAGGGAGTTCAAAGTGTACAAATCATGTAAATGTTCACAAATTATATGCAGTAGAGTACATTAATACAGTATGTTCCCTAGACTATCCATTTCAATTTCGAATTTTTTAAAGCTGTTAGATAAACTTTATAAAAAAATTAGGGGAATAAAAAACATCATTTTATTTATAGTTATAACGGAAAATCATCGTTTGGAAAGCGAAAGGCATAGAGTCTATGTGAAATGATCGTTGGTCAATCATGAAACAGCCTATTTCATAATTTGGTTTTCTTTTAAAATTAATTTTAGATTTTCTATAAAATGATGTTCCAGGGCCCAAAAGGTTATATAGCACAAATACGTGAAGTACACTTTTTCTAGTAAATTCCTTTTTCTTTGTAGATGTCATAAAAAGACACAGTACCCTTAAAATTTTGTCTGTTCAAAGATGATGAAGTATTCTTAACTTAGCACAGAAACGCCTGTTAATAATTTTGTTTCAAGCTGTTTTTTTTTATGAAATTTCATTATTTATTTCCTGGAGTCACAGAAAATAAGATTTTTCATTCTAGTTTATAAAAATGTAAAACCTCACTCGTAATTTTCATGGATTTACAATACTTTACACTACATTATATTTGAATTCTTGACTGAAGGCATTGTATGTAATGACACAAACATAGATTTCTTCGTCAATGAACAAACAAAGGTATAAAGGGAAATAAATATGAACCGTACTTGCCACTCTGTAAATGAAATGTCTCTGAAATGTCTATTGTTCCTTTAAGAAAAGAGTTTACCTGTGTATTACAGTCCTGTTCTTCTTGGTTTGGTCCTGTGCAATCTGCCGTCCTTTCTACGCCACATTCACGCAACCTCTTCCTCCTACCACCACCACAACTTCGACTACATCCGGTCCAAGCAGTCCAAGCAGTCCATGCAGGACATGGACCAGGACTACACTCATCATACTCAATACTCTCCCCTACACATTTATGATCTCAGTATGCATATACATGCTTTGTATATATAATGTTCAAATAATGACCTTTCTTTCTTTCAAGGTATGGAAAGATTATAACCAATAACCATACTCTAAACAGCCACTGATGTAGTTCTTGTTTTTTTTTCTAAGCTTGTGTTAAATAATTGACTTAATGACATTATATAAGTTTATTTGAAAACACATTACCATCATAGGTAAGATGTTACATGTGATGATCTCCAATGGAATAATACATTGCTAGAATCAAGCCATTGTTACCATGGCATGAGCCTAGTGTAGAAAACCAGACCGTGTGGGGAATGTGGGGCCTACTTAGACTGCCTGTGAAAAGCATGTTAGGCTTATGCAAAGCTGATTGGCTGGTTTTCCGTATCTAGCGCACAGGGAATATATAAAAGACAAGTCAGTTGAGGATCAGCCCTCTTAAAGAGAGGATGAAGAAATTCTCCCAACTCACCATGGTGTCATAACGGACAATCTGAGTCCTCAGAAGCAGTCAATCTCAAGGACGGAATTTCAGATGAGCTCCTAGTCATGGGTTCAAGAAAGATCTGGACAGGAAACCCAATCCTAAGGGGCTGAATAAATTTCATTCCAGCATACAAGAAGATATACCAGGAAACCCAATCCTAAGGGGCTGGATGGATTTCAAGTCCAGCATACAAGAAGATATACAGGGAAACCCAACCTGTGGATCTGAGGAAACTGTAGTAGCAGCATATCTACATCTCTTTGGTTATTTGTTTCTTTTATTTGTTTTACTTTCCATATAAATGTTCAAATACTTTTTTCTTTTATTTGTGCGTGAATTGATGAATACTAGAATATTGATATCCCCCTTTTGGGTGGTTCCTTTCATATTCAAAACATAACACTAGAATGTGTATTGTGTATTTACCTGGACATGCCCCTTTATCTTCTTCTCCTTCTCCGCAAACCCTGTGCCGTGTTCGTTCTCCAGTTCCACAACTTACTGTATAATAGCTGGTTTATATTTATTTTTTTGAGTTGACATTTTGATTCATTTCATAAACTCCAAAAGGGTCATATGTTAAAACAAATTCAAAATACTTTTGAAATTTTTAAATGTGTGGTTTAGTAAAGGTCCTTTTTTGAAAATTGTTTAAATTTTACAAGCTAACCTGAACAATCAGACCAAGGAGTCCATTTGGTCCAAATCGGACATTTTTTTACATTACACTTCTCAGCTTGTGCACCTTCTCCCTTGCATAGTGGACAGGGTTCGCGTACTGTACCGTCTACAGATGGAGCAGTACATGCCCTTTTTCTGTCCCGCTCCCCACCTCCACAACTTCTGGAGCAGCGCCCCCAAGAGCCCCACGAGGACCAGCTCCCATATCTGCAAATTAGTGAGATTGAATATTCTAGTTCTATTAAAAATAAACTTGCAGACTGACAGTTCTACCGACCCTAGTTTTGCCCGCAAATTTCTTGCAATTGTGACACTTAATGATCTACTTTATTACCTTTTTTGCTACTGCTATGCTATATTTTTTTTCAATTAAAAACTTATGTATATTACCGTAACGGATCTTAATTTGGATTATTTTTACTACAACAGGAAAAAAATTAGAATTTAAAAGGTACTCATGGGTTTCCTCAAAAAAAATTCAGAAACTTTGGTCCAGCTGTTTGGCCAACTATAAGCTTACATATTTGAGCAAAGAGCATTATTTTGAAGATAGTTATTTTAATGCACAATGGAAGGGTGGGAATAACAATTTACTCTTAACTGTACTGAAAAAATAAAAGAGGCATAAAAAATCCTCTCAGCAAAAGATTGTGAAAAAACAATTGCATTTACCTTGGGTTAGCGGGACACATCCCAGCAGCCTGATCACAGTCAACACAAGGACAATCACAGGTAGAGTTAGCAACAGTATATACAGGATCCTTCCAGATATTTGCTGCAGGTCCATAGTTGCACACAAGGAAGTTCTCAAAGTAACCCTATAACAGTGGTTTTGGTTTCAGAAGTGAATAAGTCAATTGTCTTAGCCACGGTTTATTTATATGTGGGTCGTTTGCATTCACTGACCTACAAAAAGAAGCTTTTTTCATCAAATTCCATATGGTCCTAAAATAACTTTAGACGAACCATATGTTTAGAGAAATAAATACGTTTATACCAACAAAGAATAAATATGTTAAAAATTGAGCTAAGAATAAGAACTTGGAAAAAGAGTTTTGTCAATCATGAAATATTATTACTCTCATATTAGGAAAACTAATTACATAAATGTCAAAGGGGTAATTAAAAGTTTCATGTCAATCCTCCGGAAAATTAAGAAAAAATCTTTACTTTGATCAGAGCTGAAAACTTTAGAATAGGATATCCTTAATCATGATCGCTTAAACTGAGTATCCAATGTACACACGTTTGATTTTATTCTTAATCCTCTTTTTAGAATACCCCTTCAGTGTAAAAGTTACGTTTGATAACAATTACAGATACGATGCTATATCGATTGGACTAATTTAATCATGTTAATATGAACTTATTAAAACAAAAACAGATTTTATTACATTTTGAAAGTTAGTCTTAATAAACATTACTTCAAAACTTACGTTCGTTCAATCGATTATTACTTTAATGGATATGACACCATCAACGCCAGAAATTTGCAAAGATTAAAAACTGGTTTCTCAAAAGTTGAAGAGCGCTGCTTTTGAAATTAATCTAAAGACTTAATTAGTCTTGAGATTAGCAAAAAGAGAGGATCAAGCATTAATCTCGATATCCACCATTTTAAAGTTTTCAGTTTTGCATTAATGATTCAAGAATATGTTTTGCCCGCTGAAAACACTAACTTTAATATTTTTCATATTTTGTTTTGTGGCTTTCAAAGTCATAAATTACGTTAAAAAAACATCCCTGAGATTGTAACAAAACTTAAGATAATCTTATTCAAATTCCACCTATATCTATAAACAACTCTCAAAGTTAGTCATCAATTTAACACAGTTTCGACATTAAAGTGTCGCAACGCCTTGGCCTTTTGCTTTACCTCACCAACTCAATTAATTCCTTTTAGTAGCCCTAGAAATAAACATTTTAAAAATGTACTTCGCTTGTTGAGCTGTAAGTTTAAAAAGAGTAATAAGCAAAAAGCTGTTTCAGCGTGCTCAAATTGGTTTGCAGTGATTTATTCCTTTTGTTATTTGGAAAGGAATTGAGTCTTTGGAAAAAAATCAAATATTTAATCCTTAATATCTTCAGAACTCGATGTTGTAAACCTTTGATATTTCAAACTAAGATTTGATCTAACAGAATTCATAGTTTGAAATATGTAAGGTCTGCAACATTTGGTTCAAAAAATATAAGGATTAGAAAATCAGAGTTTGTGGCAAAGACTGAATTCCTTTGATAATATTAAGTGATTCACAGAAGTAATAAATTTATTAGGGTGGCTAAAAGCTAAAAGTTTAGAAATATAACTAAGAATTGAAGAATGAGAATTCTTCTAAAAAGTTCATGTCAGAAACAAACAAAATTCCATTATATGTATAGGTAAAAAGTTTTATCTTGGGAGGAAAATATTTTCTCAGAAATGAAAATTATTTCTCGTTATTTATCAAATCTGTTCCTATTTTGATTTCCAAGGCCCTATAAACAAAATTAATATGTTTTTTTTTTCTCTCTAACAAATTAAATCTTTTGACTAAATGTGATAAAGAAGACACCTACCGGGAACCCTCTATACTGAAATTGTGACCAACCGCAGCCAACGTGAGTAGTATTCTCCCAGACTAGCTGAGTATAATATCCAACTCCTGTTCCACACTGATTCCCGGATCTTTAAATGAATTTTAAAAATGTAAACTTCTTAGCTATTGAATTAATCTTGTTTACACAATTCACATTCTCCACAGTTTACAAAATAAGTTCTGTATTTTTTATTTTGTATAACATACACTGCAATTTTGCTTTTTAACGTTGTCATCTATATGTTCAATGTACTGTTTCAAATTCTACTTAGGGTTTTTAATGTATTCTATGTCTGTATTATGTATTGTGCATTTTTTAACCTGTAATCTGTATTGCATATCATGCAATACCTATTCTGTTAAATCTAAATTCATGCATGTTGTTGTTATACTGTATCCTGTATACTCTCTGTATTTCCTTTTTGAGATATAATTCTTAAAGCTATATCTAATGAATTGTTTTTTATGGAGTTTTGAGAAATATAATATTTTTCTTTTTAGAGTTTTAGAGTTTTCCAGTTGCATTCCATTTATTTGTAGACTATTTTAAATTCCTTAATGGAGACGGTATATGAATTGTCGATGGGATTTTCATTTAAATCAGTTTCCCAAAAGCTTTATATGAATAAGAAATGAATAAGATATTTATAATTTTCTCAATAAAGTGTCATTTTTTACATTTTTGTTTCAGAAAGAATGGAGAATATTGTCATAAATATACACTTTTCAAGCTTGCAATATGTCAATATCTTTTACAGAACTGAGCTGAAAACTTTAGAATGGGATATCCTTAATCCGGATCGGTCAATTAATCTAGAGATTAATTACAAGAAGAGAACAAGCAATATTTAATCTGGAGATCAAGAAAAAGAGTGTATCAAGCATTAATCCCGATATCCACCATTCAAAAGTTCCCAGCTCTGATTAAATAAAGGTTTAAAGGGAAACTTTGTGAATCAACATGCCCTCTTATAAATTAAGGGTTACTTTAAATTACGACGACAGCCCCTTTAATGCTTTTTATTTATCTAAAAAGAATTATTTCATATGTATCCTAATTTACCCGAATGCCTTTACTCCCTCCGGATCAAAAAGTCTGATCTGTCTAAACCAGTGCCCAATTAGACTAAATAAAATATAGCTCAAAATAGAAAGAAAGCTTAATTATAAAAAAATAACATTAATTAGGAAATAATATGAATACCAAGATGAAACACTTTATCCTATTTTACAATTATCTATACTTAAAAAATATTTGTTTGCTGAATATTGGTTTTTTTTCAAATACATTTTATATTTTATATATGAGAGAAGTTTTCAAAATTTCATTTATTTGATATGCATGGCGTTGAAACTGTTTTCACCAAAACTAATTTTCTTTCTATCTTTTGTATTTTGTGAAATTTTTGAAAAACTTTTAAGATGATTGTTTGACAAAATAAAGATAGTTAAAGTTAGAAAAAAACATTTTCAAGAAAAAACTATATTTTCCTTGTTGCATTGAATTTTCCAGTGACTCCTCTTGATATATCTCTGGCCACGTTTTGTCCAACTCCCCTCCAATCACTGAAGGAAACTAAAAAATTTAGAAAATAAAAAGTTAAGAAGTTTTTTAAAGGTTTTTATTTGTTATTCTTGAACAATTAATAATTGCAAAAAATGTTTTTATTCTTTAGAAATATTGGTCTAGAATATATTCAATAGATAAGTCTCAAAATTAATTTGAAAGAATGAAGAACTTGATTTAGTTCGACGGTTCATGTTTTATTGTCACGCAATAGAGTTAAATACCATATTAACCAATCTTTTACACGTATCTCCAGTAATCAAAGACAACACCCAAATCCTAGGTTTCCCAATCGGGGAGTTTTTGTCTGTTTTTTTTTAAATCCCACACCTTTTAATCCATCATCCTTTATTCCACAATTCTTCATTCCTCATCCTTTATTCCACAATTCTTCATTTCTCATCCTTTATCCCAGACCTCTTAATTTATCATCCTTCATTTAAGGCATCTTTATTACTCATTCTTAATCCTACACCTCTTCATTTCTTATCTTTCATCCTACATCTGTTCATTCCTCATCTTTCATCCTTTATCTGATACCTATTTTGCCCCTATACAATTTCACTATTTCTCATATATTATTATTCTTTACTTTTACTCTTCATGTTTTAACTGAAATTTACTATTTACTCTGAAATAAGGTCAATGAGACCATGTTAAATGTAATATTTTGACATTATTCATGTTTGTGAAGGGTTAAAACTTTGAACATTTAGTCTTTCTAAAGTATTTTGGATAAAGAAAGGCTTACGGTCATGAATATTTGCTCGTCAGGGTATCCTCAAACTTTTCCCGGTTAGAAGAAATATATCTTAAACATAATCCTTTCATAAACATATTCCTTTCTTAAACATATTCCTTTCATAAACATATTCCTTTCATAAACATATTCCTTTCATAAACATATTCCTCATATTCCTTTCATAAACATATGCCTTTCATAAACATATTCCTGTCTTCAACATATTCCTTTCATAAACATGTTCCTTTCATAAACATATTCCTGTCTTAAACATATTCCTTTCATAAACATATTCCTTGCATAAACATATTCCTTTCATAAACATATTCCTGTCTCAAACATATTCCTTTCATAAACATATTCCTTTCATAAACATATTCCTTTCATAAAAACATATTCCTGTCTCAAACATATTCCTGTCTTAAACATATTCCTTTCATAAACATATTCCTGTCTTAAACATATTCCTTTCAGAAACATAATCCTGTCTTAAACATATTCCTTTCTTAAAATAATAATCATGGATTCATCGCGCCCCTTTCTTTTTGATTTAAATCGTGAAATTTTCTTGATGAAAATTTAATTCAAAACTAGAAAAAAAAAAAAACTTTTAATTCAACCAAACAGACAGCTAGATTAACACGATTTTTGAAAATAAGTAAAATCCTTGTTCACCGAAACTAATTTGTGTATATATAAAAGCTAATCATTTATCGATTGAAAAGGATCTTATTTCAAGAATGAAGCAATCGAAAAATTGTTTTAATAATATTATTTTTTTCTATTTGCGTTGATCTGAGAACTTCTCTCTTTAATCATTCAATGATTAATCTGTATCAGGGATTACAGGGCTTCTAATGAAAAAATAAAATTTGATATTTAGCTTTAACATCATTCTATAATAAATATAGTATAACCCCCATATTTTGGAAACCTAAACCTAAATGTATATATATTACGTTATAATCACCTGACCGTATTATCGGTCAGTTCTTATCTTTATCTGTACTATATACTCAAATATAGTTAGTTGAATATGAACTCTGTTTGATTACAGTCAGAACTAATTGGTTCTTGGTAGAGAGTATAGAGTTTGAGAGAGTTGTATCTGGATTGATACATATTTAAGAATACAGAGAGAGTTGTATCTGGATTGATACACATTTAAGAATACAGAGAGAGAGTTGTATCTGGATTGATACATACTTAAGAATACAGAGAGAGTTGTATCTGGATTGATACATATTTAAGAATACAGAGAGAGAGTTGTATTTGGATTGATACACATTTAAGAATACAGAGAGAGAGTTGTATCTGGATTGATACATACTTAAGAATACAGAGAGAGAGAGTTGTATTGGGATTGATACATATTTAAGAATACAGAGAGAGTTGTATCTGGATTGATACATACTTAAGAATACAGAGAGAGAGTTGTATTGGGATTGATACATATTTAAGAATACAGAAAGAGTTGTATCTGGATTGATACACATTTAAGAATACAGAGAGAGAGTTGTATCTGGATTGATACTCATTTAAGAATACAGAGAGAGTTGTATCTGGATTGATACATACTTAAAGAACTATTGGAGTAAGGCGTTGGTTACAATTCTATCTTCAATTTATGCTATCTCTACTGTCTTTTCTTTTATGATCTACAAAAGTTTTATTCATATGTAGAAATGTATGAATGGTTTATTTACTTACACACTTTTCTGTTGGGATGGGGATCATGGAATAAGCTTGGATCTTGTCGTTTATAATCCTCCTTCAAAATACCATAATTGTCAAAAGTCATAATATGAAAAAAATCAAATATGTCTGAATAAATCTGTCATTACTTTACCAAATGTCTAATTTATGTAAGAAAAACACAATTTTTCATAAAATAATGGTTAATTCCTTGTAATCTACATCTGCGCATTGATCTGCCCACTTCTGAGCAACTCTTGCTAGTTCATCATCCCACACCTAAACAGTCAATAAAATAATAAAACATTTAAACCATGATTTCTGGTCAGTGCATAAGGGATCATTTTGTTAGTGGGAAATTCTAGAATATACAATTTTTCGGAAAAAAATATTTCTTCACTATTGATTGTGTTGTATTGGACTATTTTTCTGTTTTTTATGTATACAAGTATACATCATTGCAGAAACTTCGGCGGGGCGTCAATGACTAGTTGACTAATTGGCTAGTTGATTAGTGGTCTAGTTGATTCAATGATTAGTTAATTCATTGATTCTTTGATTAGGTTCCTTAACTCGGACACAAAGTTGTAAATAATCAAATAAACAGATATATTTTAAACCTACAAAAAATACAGTTTAGTAAATAAATGATGATGTACAAAATAGTTTTGAATGTTTAGTTAGATAACTTATTATTTAGGTGTGTCAGAATAATTAAGGAGTGATTAGGGATACGAAAATTTAAAGGATCAGTCCAAAACATTTGGATCTTACTGAAATAAAAAACTCGGTAGTTTAAGTAAACTTGCTAATGATTGCATAGTTATTGACGGATTTAAGTATCGACAAGTTGAAACGCTTCACTTGTTCAATTTTTCTTATGTCTGAGTATAGAGAGATGGGATGTTGGTGAAATTGTTTGGTTTTGATTTCTCCAAGGTGAGGGGGGTGTTAAAGACGATATTGCATGGGATAGACTTGGAAGGTGGATTTATGGCCAACAACCATTTATATCTAATTGTCTTTAGCAATTTTATTGTCTTAAAACATTAATTTACTCACACTCTTTTGTGTTCTCATTTCCCCGTTTCATCCCTTTTCTATTTTCATATTTTAACAAACATATAACAATTGTTCATTTAGATACATACCACAGGTCCCATACATCCAGCTTTAGGCTGATTGCAACCCCCTCTAGCGATCTTACTTCGAACCTAAAATTATATTAGGATGTGATTTTGAATTGATAAGTTTTGCTTCAATTTAGTTTAAAACATCCGATGAAGCATAATATTGTAAGAAAGTTTTCCTCTCATGTGAGTAGAACATTCATTTGTATTTATATATATATTTCAGTTTTTAAACTTCATATTTTATTAAAAAAGAATTATACTAAGCACAACGTTCCACGCCTCATAACGATCCTCTGTCGTAAAAATCTTCGAACAACAAATATCTATATATGTTTTCATACTTAAGTGCACTTTGTCTATTTGCCTGTTTTTCTGTTTGTCTGTTTGGCTTATTTTTTGTTTTTTTTCATTTGTCTGTTTGTTTTTTTGACTGTTTGGATGTTTGTCTATTTGTCTGTTTGTCTATTTGTTTGTTTGTCTATTTCTCTATTTGTCTATTTCTTTGTCTATTTGTCTGTTTGTCTGTATGTCTGTTTGTCTATTTTTCTTATTGTCTATTTGCTTGTTTGTATATTTGTCTATTTTTCTGTTTGTCTTTTTGTCTGTTTGTCTATAAGTTTATTTGAATATTCGTCTATTTGTCTATTTGTCTGTTTTACAATTTGTCTGTTTGTATTAAGTCTGTTTGTCTCTTTGTCTATTTGTCTGTTTAACTATTTGTCTGTTTGTCTATAGTTGTCTATTTGTCGCATATTGTACAATTTCAAATTAAAGATATCAGTTTCTTAAACTATATTTCTAAGATCTACCTCATTATGAAGTTGAACAATGAGCTCCTTCATATCCGAGTCCCTGAATGCACAAGTTTATCAATGCAATTTGTTAATTTCCAAAACTTGAAAACAGTAATTTGAGATGGAATTTAAAGAATTGGAGCCGCGGTTTAAATCTGCCAAAACCCGGTTTAAATTAAGTGCCGGCTTGAATCTTGAAACATTTGATACAATTTTAAGTGGAACCAGTCATATTTAAGCCGCGGCTTAAATTCAAACCGCCACTCAAATTCTTTAAATTCGGCCATTGATTGATTAAAAGGCATGTTGAAAATATTTATAACTTAATTATAAATAAATTAAGGAACTGAGTTCTTGAAACAACCTCTGAATTTATAATCTCTATATCTTTGCAATGCGATGTCTTAGACCTTCGACGTTTCCAACTAAGCATTCTGTTGGATAAAATAATCTAAGTTTGAAATATTAGAAGGTTTACATCATCAGGGCGCAAACATATTGGAATTAGAAAATTTGAGTTTGTAGCAAGAACTTAATTCCTTTGATGTATATATATATATATATATATATATATAGAAACATCAAAAGGGCTGAATCGATCTGGCCCAAAAAATCTGGATCAAAATTGTAATAGGATAACTCCAAGCAAAAAAATATAAACCCAAATTTTCATCGTAACTCGGATTTTAAACTTTATTTTCGAGTTTCATCTACTTTGTACCTAGTTCAATCTATGTTAAATAATTTCGTAACGTCTCAAGATTACATACAAGATTAAATAACACTATAAAGTTATTCCTTATAATTTAAAAAGAAAGAAAGTTTTTAAATTTCAGCAGATATATTTTCTTTATTTAGCTGTATTTTCATAATCGAATTAAAACTTTTTATTGAAAACCTTCTCTGCAAACATAACTTTTTACTATGTAATTATCTGAAAATTACAATTTTATAAATCGAATTAGAGTTTAAAAAAATATCTAGATTTAAAAAGATCTGACCCAAAACTATTGGTGCAATTCCTTTAACCCATGGGAAGGTTTAAGGCTGGTTGAATTTTGTCAGGAAAAAATGCAGCAATTTAAAAAGTTCAAACTAGTAAAATTAGATTTTAATGAATAACGATTAAAAACGGCTAAACTTTTAATATAAAAGGGGGCGCTGTGCGCGAAGCGATAAAATCCAATTTTTTTAAAGTTCTGTATACAGACATCACTTTAATACTTACACAGAATTTGCACATGGTGTGTTCAGGACTCAAGAAATCTTTCTCATTGTTAAGATCACAGTAATCTTGACGATCCTAAAATATTAAAATATTATTTTGCTTCGTAAATGTGTTGAGAGCCTAAAAATTTCCCATCGACTTTAGAATAAAGACTTAAAAGGTATTATATCTAATTATAAATGTGCTTTTTGGTAATTCCTGTTAATCTCTTTTATCTAATATTTTAATTTAAGATTATGCATTTTTTAAGGGCAAAGAAAATAACAACATTTTGTTTGAGGTAAATCAAAAACTGTAAAAAATAAACTCTTTACCTTTGTACAAGTTCCCTCTGCCTGTTCGATCAGATAATTATCAACTTCTGCTACAACAGGTTGGATATCCAAATCCTAGGAAATAATATCCCTTTATTTTGCAGTATACCCACGTATATCGAATAGAATTTATCAAAGGAATTGAGTTTTTGCAACAAACTCTGATTTTCTAATCCCTATATCTTTCCAACACGATGTTTTAGACCTTTGATATTTCAAATTGTGAATTCTATTAGATCAAATATTCTTACTTTGAAATATCAAAGGTTTACATTATCAGATTGGAAAGATATAATGATCTAAAATATATGTTGTGATGTCTGGGACTACAAACAAGTGTGCTCAAGTAATTATGGTAAAATCAAAGGCCTAGGCGTTACGACACTGCAAACAAGACCCAAAGTTATGTAAGTTTCCATAGCAATCAGAATCTATGAGTATCTAGTCAATAGTTAAGGCTGGATATATTAAGAAACGTTTTGTTTTAAACCCCTATGCAGAATCCTATTAGATCTAATAGTCTAAGTTTATAAATATAAAAGGTTGCAAATATCAGGTTATAAAGACATAGGGATTATAAAATTTGAGTTTGTGGCGAAAATTCAGTTCCTTAGTGGTCCGATGGTTAAAGGTCGGTATAAGCCCTTAACGTTGGAATCTATTTTCACTCGTTAAGTGAAGATTGTTTGCATTATCTTAGTAGTTTTTTCTTGAACTCTATATTTCAAATATTAAAGTAAAAAACTTACACGCTATTTTTGAACTATTTTAAGATTGGAATCCAATTACAATGGAAAGATGTTGATACCAGCAGGATGTACATCGTAATAGTAGTTTTACGTGAACTAGGTGCACTGTGCATTGGAAGTTTGATACACCATGAGGGTGCGCCAACATTAATAGGTTAATTAGTTGTTTAAAATATCGAAAATAAACGGTGATTTATACATAAGGATGTCCATGCAGGGCCAAAAAAGTGGTCACCCGGAACATCAAATTGGATTTTTTTTAAATATAGTAAATAGTCAGGATGAGGAAGAAAGATAATGTGGTTACTAAGGATATACTTTATCTATTTATGCAACTGTCTTGTGTTATTATGCGTGGCAATATGTTTTTTTTTGGCCGGGATTTTTACTTTTTTTGTTTGTTTATGGTTTAACATTACAGCACGATGATTACTTTAAAGCACGCCAATAATAAAACTCACCATGAAGTGAGTATGAATGAAGTTCAAAGTAAAAATATTATTGATATTAGAACATTTTTGCAAAGAAAATCCTTGTACATTTTTCTTTTCATCGGTTCAAATTCACATATTTCAATATTTTCACGAGTTATATTCTATTTGAACATTTGAATATGATTAGATTCCTTTACAATTTTATCTATATTCGTTGAGTAAAACGAATTAAGTGGAAACTATTTTACCCCTTTACTGCTTGGATAACCCGATCCAGAAATGTACTGTTAGATATAAAATCATATTTATATATAATCCAACACAGCGAAGACATGTGCATGAGAAAACTATTTTAAAGTGTTCATTCTGATGTTTTCATGGAGATAATTGGCAAAATAATGCATAAACAGCATAGGGTATTGTACAAATACCCTATTCTGGTCGAGCCTCGCTTAAAAAATAACGCTTTGAATTACTATTTAAAGCTATAATTTTCTGATATTTTTAACCTTTTAAGCTTATTTTCTGACAATAAATTTAATCAAATGTATAATCTGCAATATCCGATAACTACAGATTTTTATTCTTTTCTTACTGTTTTTATAATATTCTCCACGATATACTATCTTAAATTATATACGTAAATATTGGCTATAAAATGTTAACGACAATTTCTCCATTAGCTTTATTAAATATAATAACAATATAAACGTAATTTTCTAATAATTTATTACAGACATTTTACTGAGTTAACAATAGGCCATAGGAATTTAGCAATACATAGTAGTAATCTACGTTTGGGTGTTTGTCTGTTGACATGCTTGTATGTCTAATTATAACTCAAATACCCCCCCCCCCTTGACCGATTTGCCTCAAATTTTGAATGGGGAACTCGTTAAACTCACTGGAATGTCTCTAGCTTGGATTGAACATGAAAAGGTCGAATTTTATGGGAAAACCCTAGTGTCAAGGCAAAGCTGGGTTCTCAAAGTTGGAATTATATATTCTTGAACTTTTTTCATGATATTGCCTTACGACTTTTTTTGGTTTGGTAGGAAGACCGGGCTAAAACCAACTAATTTTTTATTTACCTTAAACCAGCTCCTGAGAAGTCCCCCCCCCCCCCTCCTCCTTACATCTATTCCTTTCGGAAATCCTTATTAGCTCGAAGCTTTTTTTATTTTTATCAAGAGTGAAATTGGAAATATAAAACCTCAGATTGAATTAGAGAAAAGAAAATGTTTTATTTAATTATTTCTCAGAATAAGAAATATGAAGAAATATTAAAGTAGGTATTTCTTATTAATATTTACGAAGGATATCATGGAGTAAAGTCCTCTTTATGTTAGATCTGTCAGGACTGTGGTCCAAACGGCCACAAATCTCATCTTATTTTTAAACTTTCATTAGCTCAGAACCAACAAAGTTATTGGAGAAGTTTTAAACATTTAGAAGCTTATGTTGAACGCGGGCTAGAAGGACAGCCACAACAATTCTAATACCGAGCCACAACATTTCTAATACCGAGCCACAACATTTCTAATACCGAGCCTCATTTTCCCAATTTTATGTTCCGAGCAACCTTGCAAAGTTAGGGGTTTCAGTAAAAATTCGATTTACGGTTTACATTCAAAAATGATCCAAACTTTTTTCCCATTTCCATTATAGAAAAAGTCTTGTAATTCCGCCCTATCATGAAGAAATTTTTTTATTGTATTTAGCCATTACGTAGGCAGAAGCATCACTCACAAAAATGATGACGGTTTACTGCGAAGTAATTAGCTAGGAGCAAACATGATTTTTATCTTTTTTCTTTTACTCTAGTTTAGGATGGAATATGTAACAATCGTTTATTTTATTAGATCTTTGAAAAAATTATCGTTTTTAAAGGAAAATGTCATTTTTATCTGAATTCCTTGTTTTCTTTATTTCCTATTTACAGTTTCAATGTTCTTTCCTTTGCAATCGTTTAAGCTGAGATAGAAAAAGTTTAAGATCTGAAAGATAGCATTAGTGTTTTTAGACAGAAATTTAGAAATCCTAGAAAAGTTCTGAAATCTTTTTAGTTTTTTTTTCTTTTCTATAACTCTCCAACTATAACTTCTTTTTAATCTTTTCATTTTAAGGTTGGTATTTTTGTCCTTTATCAGCCATTTTATGAATATGTAATCGTAAAAGCTATTATGCTAAAACGTTATTACTTTATCAAACGAATCTGCAACATTGTACAGGTTAGATAGTATTTATTAGAAGTTTATGAGACTTTTTATGGTGCAAATCAATGCAGGGAACAGAGATCAGAATAAAATATGAATATATTTGGCATAAATTGAATCATGTGAGCTTCCTCCTGAATAAGAAATTTGTCCGTAGCACGAACTAAAATATCAAAAAATCATTTTCTAAAAGGAAAAATTAGAAAGCGAAGTTTCTTTCCGACGTTTTTTGAGAATATGCAAAAAGCTCTTAAAGCAATATGATATTTCCAATAACAAGTTTCATTTGAGTTCTCTAGCATAATAAATCAAGCATAGACGTCGAAGCCCTACATGGTTGTGGGTATGATACATGTTTATGTAAATTAGTTAGAATAGCCGAGACATGAACTGTCAAATTAATTCTGAAATTGTTTGTTTATGTTCACACAACTCCTACGCACAAATTGAAAGTTAAACAGGGGTCAGGCTATAAATATCCTAGGTATAGATTATCAAAGATAAAATTCATAAACTTGTCAAAAAAGATCCAAACAATGAATTAGAGATTAGAGAAATAATACACTGGTAGAGCACTGCATGAAACAGAGAACAGTACATGATGTAAACACACAAAAGGCGACTTTAGATGTATGTTAGCAGCTATTTAACCATAGTTTCAACAACAACAACAAAATTGTCAACCAGTTAAGAAATGTGGGAGAGAACGTGGGGGGGGGAGAGGGGGGGATATTTTTTCTACCTTTTATTTGCCAATCCGATGCAAATAAAGATTTAAGATAAAGGTTAACGGAATATTTAATGATAAACTTGTTTAAAGGAATTATTTCAGGCTTTGCCACTAAGTCAGATTTTCTAATCGTTATATATCTGCAATCCGATATATATATATATATATATATATATATTATATTATATATCTGCAATCCGATATATATATATAAATATTATATATCTGCAATCCGATGGTGTATTCTTTTCCATTGCTTTTAACTGTTCTGAAACTAATGGCGTACCTGAATATCATCAGCAAATTGTGTAAAATCTGGGAGGTCAACTCCCTCTGGAAGATCAACTGGACCAGATAAAGGTGTATCATCTATGTAACCTGTACCACTGCCTCCATTCTCTGTTAGAAACTCAGTCCATGGCAAGCTAAAAATAATTTTCTGTTTACCTTTGCGTTAGTGTTCAGGTTAAAATTTTTTAAAACTGTTTTGACCATAAATTTTCTTATAATTATTATAGATTTACCTTGAATCTGTATATTCTGATATTCTAGCTTTTGAACAGGAAATTCGTGGCAAGCAAACACTTTCATCTGAATAGAATTATGTTCAATTAGTTTATCCATCTAATGGAATAATCATGTGGTTCTTTATTAAAGGATTCAGGCATTCAGTCCAGGCCCAATCTCAGAAATTTGATTTGTAGAACGAAATTCAATTTTTCCAATTTTTCATATGAGCGGACAGAGAGAATAGGTCGGAGATAGAGGAGGCCGGGTAGGGGGGGGGGAGTATCTTTTTTTGGGGAAACAAATTCTTTCAATTGTAAAAACTTAAAAACATTTGAAAAAAGCTTATGACATTTGTAATATAGTGAAATTGTTTAGGAAAACAATGTAAAAATTAAGAAAATTCAACATTATCAAATGAAAATCATCATACTCCATGTCTGAAATAATTGAATACTTCCCTTCAGTTTATAATGTTCTATTAAATAATTGAAACTTTTCGTACATATTTACCAACACTAGTAACTGAATCTGCATTCTAAACTAAGATTTCGGCTCGTACTGCAGATTACACTGAAGAGTGAATGAAAAGATTGAGTGAGTAAAAACATATTTCCTACCTGGAATAATTTGATCTGGGAACTTCGTAGAGAAAGGAATATAAATGTTTCTTTTCTCTCTTCTCAAACCTAGAGTTAAAAAATGATAAAAATGTTATCGTAATTCTTTCAGTTTATTGCAGTTAATTAATTAATTAAACGTTATAAAAACTATGTCTGATACTTTTTATTTTTTTTGTACTTCTCAAGAAATTGATTCGATTCCTGAATAACAGATGATGTAAAAATGTTTTCATTATTATAATTTTAATCAAAACTAATTTTTACCTCTATTCAATTATTTAGTTATTATATTCAAGCAAGCATAGATCAAAAGAAAAGACAAAGAGGAGTATTCAATAAATTTTCTGTATTTGAGTTAAATGAAAGTTGCTTGCTTGAGCAATGTGCATATCATATTAAAAATGTATCATGTATTGGAAATATTTGTTTTCGATAAAAAGCTTGGATTCTGGTATATCAATAAATAGAATTCATTTTATATATTAATATTTATTATATTATTTTTTTGTCCCCAGGACATGTTACGATCAAATTTCGGAAATTTTTCTGTTACGAAAATTTAGTGTTGTAGGTTTTTTTATTGTTCTACCAGGGGTTGTAATCTGGCAGCACATTCATCTATCCACTCTTCATTCATTCTGAGAAGAGGGTTGACAAGAATCCAGCTGCCTAAGGACTTCTGAGACTTGAGAATTGTAGATTGTAGGAATTATTTGGATATGCTGACAGAAAATATCACACTTATTACTCCCAATCATTTGTAAGACCGGATTGGATACCCAAAGGTACCATGGCAACCATAGTATAGACTCTCCCTGCTTGCCCACCGTTCTTCTCTTCATCATTATTCACTTGGATCAATCAATATAAAATCTTCTTTCTTTCTGAGTAGAAAGAACGCACCCTTCCGCTGCGAGAGTTGTTGACAGCCGCCCCTCTGTCCTTCTACATCCGTCAAGTGTTCATTGCTGCTTAACTAGATGTTGGCCCACAGGTTTGTGAAGGTGACCATTAACACCAATCCAATTATCCTTTACTGGCTGCTGATAAGTGTGCTTATATTCCGTGATCCAATGAGGTCTGGTATCCCACACTAGCCACCCAACCCCACAAGTAATGAATAAAAATACAAAATATCAAGTAATTATATGCATTGTAGAAAAAAATATACGTACACAGTACAACCATGTATGTATAAAACTATCAAATTTTTAACTGACCGTAACTTATATTGAATCATATGTAACGTTTATATCTACTATCTATATTTGTAAACTAGCTAATTACAATTTTTTATCTGATTACAAACCTCATTATCATTCTGTGTTGATCTTAATGCTTTAAATGCATTAAATCCATCTTCCATAATTCCCCGCCCTTCCCGCTTTTTAGCAACATTTTTTGTAGTTTCGTCCAGTTCTCCTCATTTTACGTTCATCTTTATTTTTACGCATATGTAGTAGTTTTACCAAAACCACCTTCCTCCTCTTAATTAACGTGTTCCTCTCTCCACATTACAACATACGCCTAATCCACTTATTTCAGAACCCCCCACATCCCTCATCCATACTGACGGGTAAAGAATCCCCACCCTTAGTTCCTGAAAAGCCCCTATAAATACAATTTTTGCCCCTGGAAAAAGTATTTCCATTGTTTTTCTCTCACTCTTTGAACTTTTAAGCTCAAAAACGTCCAAACAGTTCAAAAGAAGAAAATCCTATCCCACTGAACACATAGTATATGTGATGTATTGCTGCCTATTGATAAAAAAGTCAGAGAAATAACAAAATATTTAAAATCTTGTTTTATCCCAAACTTCTATTTAATGTATAATGCACGTTGATGATATCTTATCCTTCTCGCCAGTTTTTGCCTCCCCGTCGTTCCATATCCACTATGTTTTTCTTACAAAAACTTATGTTATCAGTTTGGTTGAATTAGGGGGGGGTACTTCAAAAAGTAAAGACGCAAAATTTTCACGTTGGGGGGTCAATGGGAAGATAGAAATGGGATAAAGTCTATGCTAGATAATTTGTATATTTACTTTAGAATAAATATAAATTCCATAATTTAAAAAAGTTATGGGCTACACATCTTTGCAACCAGGAACCAAATTTAATGCAAAGCTAAAAGTAATTGAACTACACAGACTAAGTAAAACCACTTTTCTTAAAATTAACCGGCCTACAAGAGAAGTAGCTTAGCCAAGTCTATGTAGTTCAACTAGTTTTATCTAATTTAAGTTTGGTCTCCGAAGTAAGTTGTATACTTCAGATATTTCTAACTGATGTGAATCATATGGTTTCCTAGATATAGGAACTATAAATGAAGAGTTTTTAGTTCTTTCCAGCTCATTTTTATTAATTAAGTTTACCCTTTAGAAATGCTATCTAAACAAGTTATTTATTACCTTTCACATAGAAAAACAAGAATATCTTTTAGAATCTTACACAAATAAGTCAAGTACATATCTTTATTATACCTTGTTATAGTGTAAATATATCTAAATCTTTCTTAACCATATGAGTTTAAAAAAAGAGTTTATAAAATAAATTGTATTTCTTTTTCACTTTTTAATTAGGGAAAAAGTAAAACTACACTGAATAAAATCTCTTTCTTTCTGTTTTCTATTACAGTAAAATCGCTTGTTAGGAAGTTATACAAAACTTATTTGAGCTGAGTTCCGCGGAAAAGGTATTTTCTGAGGGGGGTATTTTATGACGAAAAGGAGGGGACACTTTGGTTTGAAAGAAATGCATGTTACTGTCGAGGATATATGTTAAAACAAAATTATGGCTCAATCCCAATCCCGGTTTCACGGAGCCCCCGCCCCCCCCCCCCCCCAGTATTTTTATGTGTAAACCAATCACGCAATCTCTATAAAAAATGTAAATTTTAAGATAATTCTTGCCGAAAGACGCTATTGGGAGTCAAGGGCTGTGACCATATGATCCATTGTGATAAACATATTTTTGGTTAATGTTTTGGGTAAGGTCGCCATGGTAGTTCAGACGATTTCTGGGATAAACGCAGAGGCTAAGAAAGCTAAGAGACCAAGCGCTTATGACGTATTCATTATTTAATTATATTTGTAAAATTTAGTAAAGAAAACTTCAAGATAATTTTATGTAAGAAGAATCTGAGCTCAGGGTTAAAGAACAACGTAGATTAAAAATGAATTACTCATCTTCAGCTTGACCCGGCTCACAAGAAAACTGCAAATCTGCACACACTTTGATAATTTTTTTTTAAATTGTGGGATTCAAGCTGAAGAGAAGTCTTCGAGGTTTAAAACCATGGCTCGCTATTAAATTTATTAAATCTTTATGTATTTATATTATTGTTCATTGTCACAGTTGCTCCCGTCGTATAGTCGCGCTTGGTATTTAATTATGGTTTTACTGAAGTGCTTGGCGTTGCCGGTGAAATTTCAAAAAAACAAAATTTTATAAGTCTATATCACATCCACACATGGGTTCCCACTTGGCCAGCTAAAGCGAACACACATATTTAGATAATTGAGCTTTATTATATATCTAGATTAAGCTATATGTGATTAACTTGGATACGCACGCAGCCCTAATTAAGAATTTATCGATATTTTATAAATAACATTTTTTTTGAAAATCGTCTCATCTACTACATTTGACCCTGTTTTTGCCCTGCACATTTCCGTTTTGGTAATTACTATGCCCACTATCTTGAAGGAGCTGCGCCAAGTTCTGACATAAACGTTCAAACTAATGTGCCCAACCGCTTGCATTCATTTAATCAAAATTATAAACAATCTGTCAATCAATGTGGAATTCTAAGATTCTCATAGAAATACCAATATTAATTCAATTTGGATAAATTAGTGGACGGTTTACACAGAATGGTAATAAAAAACTGATAAAACCAAAAATCCCCGACAATTTGGCCTCAAAATTTGATATAAGAAATTGATGAGCACGTAATAAATTCTCAAAAAATACATTTTAGCTACAGGCATTTTATGCATTTTTGACCTGATCCATAATTTTTGCTGATTTTTTAAAGTTTTTTCTCTCGTTTTTCTTTCATTGGATATATAATCATCAAGTTCGCTATCTTAGCTAAAATATATAGACGAACAAGCCACTTTATAATTTTCTAAATGTATAAGTTTCTGTTTGTTTAATAAAGTACCATGGTTATTCATTTTAAACATTTATGTATCAAAGTATAGCAGTGTCATTTACTTTTTAACCTATTTTTATCCATCAAACCTACATTTATGGTGAATTAAAATGATGACATATTTTCATTTTAAAGTTTTGCAGTGGAATCAGGTGGATATATATATATATATATATATCTTGACAAAAGAATATTAAAGGAACTTAACATGCATAAGGAATACCGATCAACTATATATATCATCCAAACCAAACTATTGAAGAATCGAAGGGCGACTTTTCTTAAACTTCAAAAAGTAAAGACGCAAAATTTTCACGTTTTTTTGACCCACTAATCCCCTCCCCCGACTTTCTAAAGTGCGTGCGCACATATATTTTGATAAATGATCTTGTCCTAATCTCTCCCTGTCTTAACATCTCCGTCTCGCAACAAATTATTTAAAATGCCGAGGGCAAACATGATAACCTTAAAGATTAACATATTGATACAGATATAGTTATATATTAACATACTGATGAAGATGTATTTAACGATATGCAATTATGATATTTTTGATATTTTTGATATCTTCATACTAAATATACATATATATATATATATATAAATATATATATATATATTTTTAATCCTAAAATTTCGTAAAGATCGGAGGAACGGAAATGGAAAACAATTGAAAAATTGTCTATAGTAAATTCGCAATTACAAGGCCTCGGGTTCTTATTCTCAGTTCCCCCCAAGTGGAGGTAGGGATGTTAACGTATTCATTCTTTTGAAAAACGATCTTTCGTTTTGAAAACGACAACGAAAAATCGAAAACGAAACGATCGTTTTTAAAAACGATCGTTTTTTTAAAAGTTCGTTTTTTAAAAATGGTCGTTTTTATAAAATTCGTTGTTTCGTTAACGATCATTAATGACGACCCTTCGTTAACGATCGTCAACGACGATCCTTCGTTAACGATCGTTAACGAAGAGAGGAAACCGACCTGAAAGGGCATCTGTAATAATCATTGAGTAGTTTTTAAGAAAATATCAAGAAGTTTTAGCTCCCCCACAACTGTTAAACTTCATGTAAGACGACATTCAATAAAGTTGCATGTAATTTTTTTTTCTTCAAAAACTATAGTTTTTCCCAAACCGACCGTTTTTATAAAGTCCGTCGTTTTGTTAATGATCGTTAACGACAACCCTTCGTCAACGATCGCTTTTTTTAAAAACTGTATAAAAAAACGGTGGCAAATCGTTTTTATAAAAACGATCGTTTTTAAAAAGATTGTTATCGTTTTCTAAAAGTTCAAAACGAGTGGGTCGTTTTTAAAAAGATCGTTTTTTCCGAAAACGAAACGATCGTTTTTGAAAACGATTGAAAAACGAAAAACGATTGTCCCTTCCAACACCATCACCCGGTCGGAATCATCTCCTCCACCATCAACAAACTCTTCATCAAAATTAAAAATAAATGTGCAAACTTCAAAGGTTTGACTTTCTCCCCCCCCCCTTCCTAATTTCCAGTGGGGTAAACTTCAACCGTTTAAGTATCGTTTAAGCACCCTTTAGTATCAAACCAAAGAAAAGTTAAATATAATTCTAAATTAATCAAATGCAATAGATAAATGATAGCTTAATAATAATTGTTTTTCTTCTATAGTTCGTAAACAATCTAGAGAATTGTTTTTATCCTTTAACAAGCAGTATTTATTTTTCTTGTTTATTGAAATTGAATTGAAATTGAATTGAAATTGAAATTGAAATATATAAAATAAATAATTTCTCTAAATCTATGAGTACTGAATGTATTTAAAACTGTAAATATACTCAATGCAATCGTGCGATATTTTCTTTTAATGATTAAAAATTGAAATGAACTGAAAATCCAATAAATCATCATAATGTGATGGTTTCCTTTAATACAAAATCTTAAAAGATTTAAAATCAAAATGAAAAAAAATAACAATAACAATAATTTGCTTTTTAATTTTGCAAAATTGTGATGATGAATAGCATTGAAAGCAATTAATTGCCATTGGCATGAAGTACAGAATACATGCTAAGGTGACATGGAAACGCCTCAACACGGAAACGCCTCAAGACGGAAATGCCTCAAAAAAACATAATCATAAAACTAATTTAATGTCGTCTTCTCTCGACTTAAAATTAAAAAGACTATATTCTAACAATTTTCACAGCCATGGCCGCAGCGCTCGGCCTCCTAGCCTATTCTAGCCTCAGCGCACGGCCCACTAGCCTGTCCTAGTCGCAGCACTCGGCCCCCTCCGTAGCCTGCGGCGCAACCTAACTTACCCTAAATTAATGGTAAAATAATTGTTAAAATTTTTTTTTTAATGAGAGAAGACGACATTAAATTAGTTTTATGTGTCCGTTTTTTGAGGCATTTCCGTGATGAGGCGTTTCCGTTTTGAGGCGTTTCCATGTCACCCATATGCACTAAAGGGAACGAGTTGGAATGGAATTATTGGTGGATATTAAACACATTTTATCATGCTGATTTTGCCTACCTCGTCCAAATGCAGTCTGAGATCCAAGAAGGATAATTCCAAGCTGAAGAAAAATGAGATTCATTTTTAGAGATTCTTTCACTTAATCACAGATAATATCACTTCATGTTCTTACAAGTTATCTGAATATTATATCTGAAATTCGTGAAAAAATAAACAATTTTAAAAAGAAATTTCTTTACACAATGATTCCTGTCCAATAGGTCGAGTAGTCCTGGACGATTGTCAAATTGAACACAGCATCATCCGAAGATTTTAAATCGTCCACAGGGACGAAAACAATTTCCAATTCAGCTTTTAAATCGTCATTATCATGGGTTAATCCAGTAAAATCTTGTGATAAGGATCCCAGTTGTCCAGTGCAGGGAACTCTTCGACTTAAAGATAGGATAGATAATATGTTAAAATTATAATTTTTTTCTTATTTTAACTGATATCTAGAACAGGTTTGAACCGGTCTAATTATCCGTCATTTTACTTCCACCCAGCCCCTTTCAACCTTCTCTTCTAACTCCTACCAATCCTATTCATCTCTCTTTTCCAATATTCTTTTTCCAATATTCTTTTTTTAAATATTCTTTATCAAAATACTCTTTTTTCCCCAATATTCTTTTTCCCAATGTTAATTTTTTTCCAATATTCTTTTTCAAAATATTTCTTTTCCACAGTACTTTAGTACTTTCCCCTCTGTATCTTCCTAAATGAACTTATTTCCCCCCTCCCCCCTATTTCTATTATTTTCTCTACCCCTCAAGTATTTATTGTCCAGTCTTTAACTCAAACCCATCGCTGTGCCCCCAGAAACACCATATAAGGTCATAACTGTTAATTCGTCAATTTGAACAAGGCCTATTTTAAAACAAGTTTATTCAGAATGCTGATATAAAAAAGTGTATGTAGGAATGTAAACAAACGCAACACTGCTCGAGCTGATTTGTTTTCTCATAATCTCCCCAGATTATGTAAATAAAAAAGAGAGGTTTCTGGTGTAACTTTTGTGTAGGCAATCTAGCTGATTTTGTAAATTTAAGAATACATTTATTTATACAAATATCATGAATAAAAACAAACAGTATTTTCTATCCATTCAAATTTTTTATCTATCCGTTTGGTTTCCTGAAGCCCTTGGTTTCGATGAATTCTCCTGGATGCTGTGTTGTCAGAAGAAACCCTTTAAATGGGGAATCAGTGGAGATGCGAACAATCAATTCTTTTTCTAACATATCAGTCAATTTAATCATTTCTATTTTAAAAAAGATGTTCTTAATGAATTTTTTTATTTGTTAATAATTGGCCAATTTCAAACATTTGACCTCGATTTTGTCAATTAGTACCAATCATTTTCTCTTATTTAAAAAAATTCTCCTCACTACACCATTCTAGAATGACTAAACTTTACTGAAAAAAATACTTTTAGAACTTTAAGAATAATTTTTTATCCATACGGATTTCTGAATGGAACAAAGGAATTGAGTCTTTGCCACAAACTCTGAATTTATAATCCCTATATCTTTAGAACCAAATGGTGTACATCTTTGATATTTCAAACTTATATCATTTGATCTAATAGAATTCATAGTTTGAAATATCTAAGGTATACGACATTGGTATCCACAGATATACGGTTTAGAAAAGCAGAGTTCGAAATTATGCATTTATGAAAATAGCTGATATTCCTATTGAAAGCTCCTTGGAGCTAATCAGTACTGGATCCCCTTTTTGTGGCTCCAATCCATGCCGCGGAGATGTGACACACAGTGGGGCTCCGTCTCTGCACAGTGCAAAATCAAGAATCGACACATAGATTCAGCCTGCTTATAAACAGTCTCATCAATGTTTAAGACAGGGTTGACTTTGAAGTGTCGCAACGCCCTAAGCTTAGATTTTACCGCTCTAACTCACTTATGATATTCTGTAGCCCTTTACATGAACATCTTAGAACTTTAAATCACTTGTTGTTAGCTTTGGTTTTTTAGAAGTAATTGGCAAAATTCTCAACAATTTAAGCTTGAGAGCGTGAGACCATTAAATCGCAGTGAATCATGATATCTTAGGTGGTAGTAGTGTTGAAGAGAGAGGGGGGGGGGGGTTAAATTCCATTTTTCATGCAGTTCAATTTGATGATGGTTTAAATTGTGGATGGTTAAAGACACGAAAGGTGACATTTTTTAGTAATATAAACGGTGTTAGGTTAGATCCCCAGCGCAACTTCCCCAGTCACAACTTCCCCGAGACATCTTCCCCAACAGCAATTTCCTCAACAACCAATATCCCCAACAACAATTTCCCCAATTACTAATTTCCCCAACAGCAACTTTCTCAACAACCAATTTTCCCAACAACAATTTCCCCAATCACTAATTTCCCCAACAGCAACTTCCCCAACACCAATTTCCCCATGCAGTAAAACAGCAACTTTCCCAACAACTATTTCCCCATGCAGTAAAATATAAAATATTTCCGTTTTTAACATTATTTCAATGAACAAAAGCGCAATTTTAAACTAAAAAATTCGCACCTTTTTGAATGTGAAAAAATCAGTTGGATTAGAGTCGACAATGTTGGCAGTTTATACACTGTCCTCGAAGAAGAGAAATGTTCTGGTGGATCCCAATAAGTATGAGTACAACCTACAATCAATGTCAAGGGACAAATCTAAATCATTCTGGAACTGTGTTGAGAAAAGGAAACATTCAAAATGTGTAGCAACGGCCGGTGTGAAGAAGAAGAATTTGACTGCATGGGGAAATTGGTGTTGGTGAAGTTGCTGTTGGGGAAATTAATGACTGGGGAAGTTAGTGTTGGGGAAATTAGCGGCTGGGGAAATTGCTGTTGGGGAAGTTGTGACTGGGGAAATGACCTAACACCATATAAACATCCCGCGAACGATTCGATTAATTTTAGAATCCGAAATTTCTTTAGACACTATGTAAAAAAGACTGTAGACTTTAGAAGGTCTATTTCAAAATTGTGTAATGCCTAATGCGGTAAATACGAGGGCTTAAACCTGATAATGAAAACCTTTTATAATATGTGCGCATAAAATTAATTTTTATCTCAAATGCAACAGTTAAATGATTACAACCTGTCACAATATAATTAAACCGTTTCTCCAATTACCATGTCGATAAACTGCAAGGGTTGTTGCCAAATAAACTTCAAGATAAAACTAAACCCTGTTATATCAGGGTTTGAAACTCTGCAAACGTTTTTCTTACTAAACACATAAGCAGTCTTGGAAAAATGCCAACATAAACAATTCTAATTGGCGTAGTAAAACTGAGAGGTTAACTTAGACTATTGGGTATTTTATGGAAGAAGCACTACGTTTTGTTTTACCATTGACGAGTTAATGACAAATGAAGAATAATGTATAAAGGAATAACATCTTTGCAGCCTGAGAGTCTACGTTTTTTTCAAACCTGGAGATCTAATAGAATTTATAATTCAAAATATGAAAGGGTACGACTGGGGTTTTAAAGAATTTTGTAATGATTTAATTCTTGCCATTTATGCCTGTATGCACGAGCAAGGGACATAAACCACAGAACACTACAAGACAATTTCAACATTTTCTGAAATTAAACTTAGCTTAGAATTTTAGTCTAAAACTTATAGTCTAAACAATGCAATGAGGAATTATACATTTGTCAAATATCATTAAGAATTTAAAATTTGACACTTGTTAGCATGAAACAGAAGATATTAGTCATTAAAAAAGTCAGACAAAAAATTGGATAACAAGTGCTAATGTTCAGTTATCTAAACCAATGATATTAAAAAAATGTTATGGTAACGTTAGGAAAAAAGTTGATTTAATTATTTGATATGCATGCACTTATAAAATTAATATACTCAAAAAAACTACGGGGGGGGGGGGGGTTAAATTGACCCCCCCCCCAGCAGGAATAGGGTTCAACTAGTTTTGCATTGATTGCATCCCGCAAGAAATAAATTGATCCTAAATTGAGAAATGTAAGCTGTGGCAGAATTTAAAGAATTTGAGCGGCGGTTTAAATTTAAGCCGCGGTTTAAATTTAAGCCGCGGCTTAAATATGATTGGTTCCAAATGTTTCAAATGTTGTATCAAATGTTTCAAGATTTAAGCCAACGCTTAATTTAAACTGGGTTTAGGCAGATTTAAACCGCGGCTCAAATTCTTTAAATTCCATCTCTGAATAAAAAGTTTCGCCCTTAATTTATGTGTTGCTGCGGAACGTTATACATTATAGAACAGTTGAAGATAAATTAGAAGAGTTATATGATTTGAGAAGGGGACGAAATTCATTATGCATTTATGAAAATAGCTGATATTCCTATNAAAAATATGGGGACCAGCGCTAAAAAAAAGTTCCATGAAAAGGGTGAAGGGTTAAGTGATGGCTAGCCTCCTCTGTGTCGCATATTTATTAAGAATGAAAGTATTTTTTTTAGGGTTTTTGAGATGTAGACGAATAAGCAGTTTTTTTAATTGTTGCAGAGTTACTTTTTGTATAACGTGCACCGATTTTTCCTTACATCCTAAAACTTTCGCTATTGTGTTATGTTTGTTTAATAAGTGGGTAGGGGGGGGGGTTGAGATTTTCCGCTAGAATTAAAATAGAAGATATTTTTGAAAGTCAAAAGTCCAATATTAAAATATTCTAATTCCTATATCTTTGAAACCTGATGGTGTAAACCGTATAGTTCAAACTTAGATAATTCGTTCTGACAGAATTCAAAGTTATACCTAGCTTGGGCTTGCAAAAAGGGATTAGAAAATTAGAGTTTGCTGCAAAGTGAGTTTTTACGAAAAAAGTAATGAAATATTTTTGGATTTTTGGAANTTTATGCTATATAACCCCCCACCTCCCAACCAGGATAGAGTTAAGGATGGAGCAACTGTGTTGTAGGTTATAAATATAATATGTTGTTTTTAATTCCAAAGAGGTATCACACTTTTTTACTATTTTTTGCACAAAATCTTTGTTTGTATTATTTATGAATATTTAAATCTCAGGCCTTGTTTATTTGTATTTGTATTTAATGAACAAAGTAGAAACATAATTAGCAAAATACCTAAATATTAAACCCAAGAAGGAAAATATCACAGCTATCAATCAAGTTTTAAAATGAAATCGATCTTTTTGTTGTTTAAAACCTTAGATTTTAAAATTCATTTAATGGATTTCAGTTACATAACTTAGGATTAATGTCAAAGAAGCTATAGGCTTTGTTTCCCGATATTTTCATTCTTAGAGAAATCTAAATTATGTTTATTTGCTAAAAACTTTTTATTTATCTCTACTTTCCATTCTGTGTCGTTTTTCTTAATATATTTCTCACTTTTTAAAGAAATGTTTATTTTAAAATTGAAAACAATTAGTAAAATATCAAAATACATGTGTGAGATTTGGAAAAAAAATTTATTTAAAATAACATATTTGGGTGTAATTTTTCAATATTTATAACCTTCTACTTTTTTGCAACGCTTCCTTTTCCGTGCATTCTTTTCTAATTTTCATGAAGTATAAGTTTTGATTAATTTTGTTCTATTTGTTTTCAATAGGACTAATTAATATTCGGTTTCTGTAAATTGAATTATCTTTAAGATCTAAATTGGAAACTGAAATTTGCACAACTAGAGAAATCAGATTGATCAGATTAAATTTTAATTGCAAATACCATTTTTTAAAATAGGGAATATATCAATGCTATGTAGTGTAGTGTAATGTGCCTCGGTAATTTCCTTGAGAGCGATTTTTGGACCCCCCACCCCTGTTTGAAATAAAAAAAAACATTCAAAACTTTGATTACGCAAAATACTGATTTCAAGATAAATTGAAAATAGAAAGAAGAGGGGAAAGTTTAGCAGAAAAAGTAAAAGAAATAAATTCTAGAAAAGGGCTTGGTTTGGAATACCTCGTGGATTTGGTTTTGAGTATTCAATATACAAGTTAAAGTCCATTAGGTTTAAAGTATTCAATTCAGCATACAGGACCTCAGAAAAGTGTTTCTACCGCCTCCCCCCCGCGTCACACACGCCTCTCTCGTGGAATATTCGATAATTTTTTTCTGATGATTACTGCTTGCATTCTACCTAAAACTTTTTCTAAGCAAACAGGGAAAAATTATGATATTGTGAATTCATTCAGAAAGTAATAAACCACTTTTAAATATGAAGGTGGTTCTCTAGGACAGACCCTGTGCCTCTACATTCTCAGTATCACGAGCAAGTTTCAAAAGTTAAGATTATTTTAAGAAGTTAATAAGAAGAATAAAAAAATAATAACAAATCAAAAAGCACGTTACATTGATTATCATTTTGCGATTCAAAATATTTTTCCTTACTTTAAAAACAGAAAATGCCCATGTTTAAAATATATGATGGAACTATTTACTAAACGGCACGAAACGATGCTAAGATCAAAAGTCAGATGAAAATTATAAAATATCCGCATTTCCCATTGTCTTAAACACACAAGATATTTCTACTGCATATCTTACTGAATATAATACATGAACTATACCACCCAAAACTTTGTTGTCACTTTCTTCACATTAAATTTATCCAAATTCCAATGATATATTCTTTGGAGAAAAACCCCGAGGAAGCGGTTGAACTAGCAATTGAGACTTATTTAATAGTTTATAATGAGAAATTTAAAATAATTTAAAAAATAAATCGTAAATTTTCAACCCATGGAAACCCATCAATTTTTATTATACTGTTTTGCATTCAATCGCTGAAATCACATGTTGAAAAAACCTTTCTTATCTTCAACCGCTATAAACAAACATTTATGCAAACAAGTTATGCAAAAATATAGGAACCAGCGCTAAAAAAAAGTTCCATGAAAAGCGTGAAATTATTGTGATTGTATGTAGAAATATTCACTCTAAATTACGATTTTAACGGTTTAAACAATTTTTAATAAGAGTAAAACGCTGCATCATTAGTGACTTCGCAGTATCTTTTCTTTAAAGTACATCTCATTGTCTAGATTCATTCACAACCTCAACTATCTCAAATTTAGTCTGTTTAAATATTTTGACTTATAGAAATTAAATTAATCTGTTCTAAAAGATGTATTCCAAACTTAAATCAATTTTGAGCTTGCATTTTAATTCGCCTATTAGCAAACTGTCAATTTTCATCCATATAATTTCATATATCCTAAATGTGTTCTAAGCTACAAACGGAACTGATAAGTTTGTTTTATTGTAAATGAATAACATACATAGAGAATAGAATATATGTTAGAGGGGAATTTAATAGAAAAAAGTGTAAAACGGCCATTTTGTTTTACTGTTCCCATACTGCAGGTGTACTTAACATATTTATGCTATATAACCTTTTGGGCCCTGGAATATCATTTTATAGAAAATCTAAAATAAATGTTAAAAGAAAACCAAATTATGAAATAGGCTGGTTTCATAATTGACCAATGATCATTTCACAAAGACTCTATGCCTCTAACTTTACAAACGATGATTTTCCGTTATAAATATAAATCAAATGATGTTTTTTATTCACCTAATTCATTATAAAGTTTATTTAACAGATTAAAAAAATTTGAAATTGAAATGAATAGTCTAGGGAACATACTGTTTTAATGTGAACATTTTCATGATTTGTACACTTTGAACTTCCTTTCAGGCTGAAAGGGACTGAAACACTTCATACCGAGAGATTTTTAAATTCCCCTCTATTATATATTCTATTCTCTATGATAACATAACTTTATAAATCAAACATAGTGTGGATACAAAATATTAGCGAGGTTTAAAATTGTAAATTTTAGCTTAAAAAGAAAATAGTCGCATTTGGAAGAAATCCCACAAATAAATGCAACCTGGCGGTCTAAAACTTTGATATTGAAACTTTGAAATATCATTTCATCTTAGCTTACATTTTTTACTATATCTATTTAGATTTCTAAAAATCCAGAGCTGGGACGTTTTGAGATGGATACTCCTAATCCTGATCGGTTGATCCCCACTTTTAATTTGAGGATTAACGCTTAATCTCTTTAATTTAAGTTGTCGCTTCAGATGGTATATTTACCCTGCAGATATCGAATACAGATTAAAGTAATATGCAGATTAACAAAAGATCGAGATTAAGTATTTATCTCAATATCCACAAAATAAGAGTTCTCAGCTCAGGTTGTTGAATCTCCGATGGTTCTCTTTAACTCTGTATTATTGGATTCAGTCAAGTAATTTTCTTCTGTATCTATTTATAGAAATCTCTGTTCAGATGTTTGGATATATGATCATAACTAATGAACCCTTTGACCGATTTTTCTCAAATTTCGATTAGGAGACATTATATACAACCAAGGAAATGTTCTTAGCTTGATTTGGGAGACTTTTAAAGGGAAAACTCAAGGCAAAGGGTTTTAAGAATACTGGGATACTTTCTAATAAAGTAAACATCAAAGCTAGGTTCCCAAGATAGTATGTCCTCTGTTTTAAAATTATTAGATTCTAAGCTTAGTCTACACTACTCAAATATTAGGTTTTTCGGATTTTTTATTAATTATTGGTTAATTTACATCGAGAGCTAAATATAACGTGTAGATAAAA